TTTATTGATTTATTGATTTATTGATTTATTGATTTATTGATTTATTGATTTATTGATTTATTGATTTATTGATTTATTGATTTATTGATTTATTGATTTATTGATTTATTGATTTATTGATTTATTGATTTATTGATTTATTGATTTATTGATTTATTGATTTATTGATTTATTGATTTATTGATTTATTGATTTATTGATTTATTGATTTATTGATTTATTGATTTATTGATTTTATAGAATAGTCTCCTTAACGGTTTTTTTGTGCCATCTTGAAAGGTAGCCGTGCCTTTGCATCGAAATGAGACCGTTGAGCGTGCAATGATAGAAATCCTTATTTCACACCTGCAGACAATTATTCACAGGTATCTATAATTATAGCCTCCTCCACAGGCAACTCTTTTTTCCTCCTTTTGGCTTCCTTTGTAACGGTCATTTTGGCCGTTAGAGACTAGTGACGAGATAGCAAAAATAAAAAGAGGAGGAGTTGCCKGCCGAATCTCRACGTGTGTKGACCGYGCTCTTCACCTTGTGGACTTTGTTCTGGACCGGGGGTACCCTGGGGAATTTTTGACACACAAAACGTTACATGTCTAGCCCCCCTAAGAAGTTGTTTTATCGCTCGTTCAGACTGAGAAACTAATTGTAGCCAAATAGAAATATCTAAAAGTTCCCTGCTACAAAGCCATTCGAACATCTAAGCCGTGTAAATAAATGGCTTTGATAATCTGAAGAAAATGAGGCAGAGCAGGACGAAGACTTGTATAAAAGTTGTTCCGGCCTCCTAGCTTTGAGAACTTCGATCGAGTAAGTTATTACTTTGCTCTGCTCTACAATTATTGACTGAAGAATTACAGCTGAGCAGCTTGATACACAAAAAAGCGGCCTTTGTTTTTATATCGAAGCAAGTCGGAGCGAAGACACGAGCGTATTATATAACAGACTTTGTTTACGTTACGATGCTTTGAAGTCCACTTTTTATTACTTATCTTTTTACTGAACCTCTTTTGTAAGATAATGTATTAAAAAATGCCATCTCTGAGTTCTACTCTTTCTTTGTTCTTTCTATTATGTGGTTGCTGTTTGGTTATATAGAACGTGGCGACCGTTAAAATCAAAAGCGTGCTCCCGAGGTCAACGGCAAAGCGAAGTTCGAATTTCACTCCTTTTAACTCAATACAGCCTTTTGCAAAAATTATGAGAATTGTTGAAATATCTAAATATCATAATATCAAGTGCATGATCCCGCGCGATGCCCTTAGTCCCTTGTCTTTGTTGTTTAGTTTTTTTTGGCGACAGACTTATCCGTAGTTCTGAACATTTTCTCGATGTCAACAATGAATTATTCTAGCAAACCCGCGTGTTCCGGACAATATATGGATATGGATATTATGATATTTAGATATTTAGACAATTCTCATAATTTTTGCAAAAGGCTGTATA